CGTTCGGGACTTAATATCTAACCGACACTTTCCGACAAGTCGGAATTAACTATCTCTGCGCTGTGGTTGTCATTTTGTGGATCTGCCCAAGCTCACCTGATGATGGAGTAGGGCTCCGAAACCGGTCGTGAGAGCAGGTTGATCCACATTATGACAAACACAGCGTAGAATTAAATTTCTATATCAGCAGTTAAGTGGCAAGAATCCTTATATAATTTTATTATATAATTATACTGCAAGAAATTTGTTTTCTATTTTGGTAATAATAATAATTTTTCTTACCATGCAGTAGTATTGATACCAAAAAATAGTAATTATTAATGATAGTATTATTACTGTACTCACACACTGTACACGACAAGCATGCACCTTTCCAACTCGGTGTATCCTCTACCAATAGTATTAATTTGTATTCAATTTGAATTTGATTATATTAAAATAAGATGAAAAACAAACAAAAAATGACATTTTATGTATGTCCTAGAAAGTGAGAAATCCTTGTAAATCTATAGTATTACTTTACCTGATCTTGTGCTGACAAATCAATTTTTTCCCTGTTCCCATCGCTCAGTTTCGAACCACGCCAATGGATTAACAGTTGAACGCAAGCTGCGCGTCTATCCTGCGCACTGTAGTTCGTGTTGTGAATGATGTGACAGGCGCAGTGCAGTACCGTCTCGTTAAAGATATTTTTCTTGTTGGGATTGCCTCCCAGATCGTTGAGGAATGCTCTAAGTAAATGCTTCATGCCTAGAACGCATAGGAAGTGTATTAGATTAATAAACCCATAAATCATTTGTTTTAAATATTTTTAATAAAAATGTGTGTTTTAAAAATATATCTAAAAGCCACCAGTAGTGAAAAATATAAGTTGTTTTTATATTATTTTGGTATGATTGTATACGGTCTGTTGTATCGGCTACCTGAATATAGAAAATCCCTTGTACATTTTAAAAACGATGAATAAGTTTTACTCCATTTTATCTTACAGAAAAAATTGTTTAGAAAGAAGAATATATCTATAAATGATTTAAGGAAATCCTTAAAATGAAACAAATTCTAAATTTGTAATAATTCATACCAATTCGTTTTTCAGTTATCAGAAATACAAAAATACTAAGTAAACTAATTTATTTAAAAAAAAACATAACCCGGTCCTGACTGGAACGTGTCACCTTCAAATTCAATTTTTTAATGGCAAATTGTCGTTATAGTCTAAGATCCGGCTATAAAAGATTATAACGCTCATCATATTTCTAATCATAACCTAATTTTTACCTATATTTATGAATAGGGGAATACACTTTTAACAGGGTGTCTCTGCAAACAAAGAGTTGCCGCAACTATGTTTAATTAATCATAATAATAACTGATTTTGGAGACGGCATTACGTTCATAAAATTATTTGATCATTTGTATGTCAAATTAAAGCTATTTTTATTCTGTGTATAATAGTATAAGGAAAAAGTTGCCGCAAATAGGGGTTGCCACGGTTCAAAGTCGTTATGCGGGCAACAGTGCGTCGGGCATCTTTAGCTCCTATAATAATAAACTTGGGAATTTTATGTAAGTGTCAACCTAAAGTATATGTTAGAATGTATTTCATGAAAATATTTGAACTTCTACAGGGTGACTCAAAAAGGTCTGAGTGGATCGGGATATTTTTTTTAAATTCTAACTATACAGGGTGCTACAAATTCGAGGTACGAGCATTTGTATCTCGGAAACGGTGAGAGATACGAAGATGGCTAAATTGGGGCAAAATTGCGCTTTAGGGTGTTCACTAAGATGCAATCAAAAAAGTTTTAAAAATTTCAAGGATTGCTGAGTTTTTTGGAACAAACGGATTTTTTTGAAAACAAATTTTATTTTTTCCTGTCGTTACTTTTTAGAAAATCAGAAAACTAATTGCACATTTTCATATTCACTTTATTAGGGCTATATGATAGTATTATTAGATTTTCAAATTAGGTCATAATTTGTGAGATACAGAGGCCAACTTAATTTTTTTAAATACTGATCTGCATTTTTAAGTTTTGAAAGGACTCGGTCTTCTGAGTACAATAATATACCACACTTGATACTTTTTTTTGTTTTAGGTAGGTACATTAACAATAACAAAACTATTTAATTATTATTTAAAATAATTTCAAGTCCGACTCTGTTTTTTTTTAATTATTTAATCTGATTATATTCACCGCAACAATATGGATCAGCGCTAATTAACATTGAATAAGGAAAATCGAGCCAATTGAAAGATTCAAATAAATAATATCCAGGTCAGCAATTTAAAAATATCAAAGTTGTAGTAATTTCCGGTGAAAACAGGAAATGACCAAACACAATTGAATACGCCAATCAACCCTAATTTATGTCATATACTAACATACCAAATATCGTTTTATCTGAAGAAATAAAAAGGTAGAGGTGAGTCACTCTTTCAGACGCACCCGGTTATATTGGTGACCCGCAATAGTGCGTCGGGCAACTGTAGCTTCTACAATAAAAAAACTTATTAAAAACGTACTAAAGTATGTGTAATGAGGATGTATTTCAGGAAAATATCTTAACTTCTATAGGTGGCTCAAAAGGTGTGAGTGGATCGGTATATTATTGAATTTTTGGCTTAATATAAAGAAAAACAATTGCTTACATAATCTTAAGATATGAGTAAATATGTTTTGACAGTTTCAAAGATATTAATAACAATAAAAACATACATTTCTTAACCGTTTTAAAAAATATTTAAAATACAAGAAATGTCCTGAAATCAAACTTATATTAGGTATTTACTTTAGATGGTCTATACTTATTTGCTATAGATATCGTAATCGTAAATCATAAATGGTGTTCAAATTTACGCACAAACTTTCATAACATAATTTTTTTTTTTTTTTTTAATGGAACACCCTGTATATTACTTTTTTATTAGATGGAGAGTTAAAATCCACTCACACTTTTTTTTTTGAGCCACCCTATAGAAGTTAAAATATTTTCTTTGAAATACATCCTCGTACATACTTTAGGTTTACACTTAAACAAAAATATTAATTATACATATTAACTATAATTTGGCTTGTCTGAAAAAAAAGCCTTTACCATCTTTTTACTATCGATAGTTGGCGTCTCGGTGGTACGAAAGTACTACCACCGTACATAAAACTACAGTGGTACTACCATTGCACGCAGGCCTCTATCTCCCGTTCGGGACTTAATATCTAACTGACACTTTCCGGACAAGTCGGAATTAACTATCTCTGCGCTGTGGAGTTGTCATTTTGTGGATCTGCCCAAGCTCACCTGATGATGGAGTAGGGCTCCGAAACCGGTCGTGAGAGCAGGTTGATCCACATTATGACAAACACAGCGTAGAATTAAATTTCTATATCAGCTAGAGGTGGGCCAGTCTGCGATTTTTGTGGAGCTGCTACGCTCTGCGACTGCTCCAATAAAAGCACTGCGACAGTAGCAGTGATTTTTCGGAGCAATTAACCTATAAATTAAAAATGTAGTTTTATAGGTTAATTGCTCCGGAAAAATCGCACTCGGTGTTCGGCACCGTTCGTTGCATTTACTAAAAAGTACAGGACTATAGGTGTGATTATGATAGGCAACATCATCGTCTAGTTTTTATTTATTTATATCGTATGATCGAAAAAACGGCGTCAGCGATAGCTATGAAATGAAGATTGCTGGCATTTTATATGTAAAATTTATGGGGAATGTTATCGATTGTCATTTCCAAGCCAACTGGACGCCGTTTTTTATTTCGATCAGTAGTGGCGATTTTAACGTCTGTGCAATCGGGGTAAGTCACCGACGGGCCCCAAGCCTCCCGGGCCCTTGCGAACAAGATTCGAACTTTTCCGAACTACGGGCCCCTAGAGCTCTTAAAATCGCGGCTGTACGGTACTATACTGATGTCTTAGTTTGATAGATGTTGCTATATTTTTTTAGTCTATTCAGAAGAATTTGAGTGTTTCTAAGTACCAAGCACTTTGCTATAAATATCTTAAAGAGTCTGTTCATTTTCACAGAGTGGTGGCCCATGGTAAAAACTTAATGTTATATTCAATTCAAAGTCGAAACTGTCAAAAAAATCTTTATTAGTGACCGGTTTCGGCTATTTAGCCATCATCAGACCTTAAAAATAGATATAAATAATAAAACTTATATGAATGTATAAGATCAAATAAAAGATTTAGGATATACAACAAAACACAGATACAAAATTAACTAACAAATAAACATACTAACAAGTTAAAAATTACCTTTGTCAAAAACATCTGTTTGTGATTAATATATAATACATAAATATCTTATTTAGATTCATGAAAGAAAAAGCGAACGCTGCTACGTTTCCCGTTCCCAAACTCCCAACAGCTCCAGTACACAGAATATACTCAATATACTATGCTCCAGTCGACTGCGACCTGCGACGACTGTGACTGGAACAGTCTGACCGGGCGACGGGGCTAGGAGCATTTTCAGAATTTACACTATTGCCTGCTATTGCTCCTATTGCTACTCACGAGCGCAGATGTCCTAAACTTGTAAACTGCTCCGAAATGTCACTGCGATTTTCTTGGACTGGAGCAGTCACATACTGCGACGTTTGTGGAGCTGTGACAAAGTAGCGGACTGCGATTTCACAACCCACCTCTAATATCAGCAGTTAAGTGGCAAGAATCTTTATATAATTTTATTATATAATTATACTGCAAGAAATTTGTTTTCTATTTTGGTAATAATAATAATTTTTCTTACCATGCAGTAGTATTGATACCAAAAAAATAGTAATTATTAATGATAGTATTATTACTGTACTCACACACTGTACACGACAAGCATGCACCTTTCCAACTCGGTGTATCCTCTACCAATAGTATTAATTTGTATTCAATTTGAATTTGATTATATTAAAATAAGATGAAAAACAAACAAAAAATGACATTTTATGTATGTCCTAGAAAGTGAGAAATCCTTGTAAATCTATAGTATTACTTTACCTGATCTTGTGCTGACAAATCAATTTTTTCCCTGTTCCCATCGCTCAGTTTCGAACCACGCCAATGGATTAACAGTTGAACGCAAGCTGCGCGTCTATCCTGCGCACTGTAGTTCGTGTTGTGAATGATGTGACAGGCGCAGTGCAGTACCGTCTCGTTGAAGATGTTTTTCTTGTTGGGATTGCCTCCCAGATCGTTGAGAAATGCTCTAAGTAAATGCTTCATGCCTAGAAAGCATAGTAAGTATATTAGGTGAAGAATTAAAAATCAACAATAATTTTTATATTTAAAATATTTAGTTTATTTTGTATATATTTAGTTTTGTTGCTATTCATATATAAATAATAGAAAAAAAGAAAAATATTTCAATTATATTATCAAGAATACATACCATGTTTGGCTGCATAATGCAGGGAGGTGTTGTGATGATGACTTTCTCCATAGCTCGAATTCGGATTGAAGTACTTTCTAAGTTCGGGTGTGTTTTGATAGATTTTCATAGCAGCATACTCGTCGCCATGTTGGAGGTTTTTCTTGAATTTGGAAGAGGTACTGCCCATTTTAAAGAAAAACCTGCCGCTTGGATGCTGTTGATTTCTGTTTTTTTTTTGAATATTATATTCGGATATGTTTGGGCGTCGTCTGCGTTTGTCAGGAAATCCAGCTCTTTTGGAAGAAACTACATTTCCTGAGCTGAAATTGAGTAATGTTTTTAATAAATATTTCAAAATATATTCTTTAGATAGCCTGAATAGTAAAAATATATTGTTAAACTATAACCTTAGAAACTCTTTATTATAAATATACACTCTCTTAAATAAATCCAAGTATTTTATATAAACTAGTTGTATTGTATTGTCCAACGCCAGAAACACGTTCATAATTATTTACCAAGTTGTGTTGAAAAATTGACGTTTTCATAATATTTTCCGGAAAATTAAAGCAGTAACTTTTTATTGCCGCTGGTTAATTCCCCTGAAATTTTTAGAATGTGTATCAAAGTCGTTGCTACCTTCTCGTTCAAAATAGTTTTAATTTTCTACATAATAAAGTAAAAAAAATTGAATTTTATTTATATCAATGACATGATTAATAATACTAAAAACACGGACTTATTTTTTAATACACACTCGTAAATTTTAGAGTTATACCGGGGGTTCATGAAAAGTGACTCACCCCTACAACTTTTTTATTTTTTCAGATAAATAAAATGAAATTTAGTATGCTAGTATGTGACATAAATTAGGATTGATTGACATATTCAACTGTTTTCGTTCACTTCCTGTTTTACCGGAAATTACTACAATTTTTGGTTTTTAAATGATACTCTCGGTTTTTTTTTACAATGACATATTATATGTTAACTTTTGACATTTTCAATTAAAAAAATAGCATTTGGCATTCTAAATGTCAATTTAGAGTGCAATGTACCGACAATTTGACTCGAAATATTTAGTGTGCGGTACCAAATTATTCGTAAAAAAGCCTCTTCCAAACATGGTAATATGAGTCACCCTCGTTCGATTTGAAAATGATTAAGTTATGATTAAAAATTATATTTGGGCATCTTTTAATTGGCCAGGACATGCAAAACAGACCATAAAATATATTTTTCCAAGGTTCCATGATCAAAAATTAGGATTTTTAGCACACCCTCTCTATATAGATTGAATTTTAAAATACAATTTTTTTAAAACTAAAATGTCCAAAGTTGACCTATGATATGTCATTCTATTCAAAATGTCATTTTCTATCAATTAAAGTAAAAAATACCGAGAGTACCATTTAAAAATCAAAAGCTGTAATAATTTCCGGTGAAACAAGAAGTGACCGAAAACAATTGAATCCGTCGATCAATCCTAATTTATGTCATATACTAACGTACTAAATCTCGTTTATTTATCTGAAAAAAATAAAAAAGTTATAAAGATGCGCCATTTTTGAGAACCACCTGTTATTTAACATAACTGAAAGAATAAAACTTAACATCTATTTCTCCAAAAAAAACCTTTATGTGTATTTCGCCACTGCACTGCAAGAAAATCTGCAAAATAAAATAATTATTTTTTGTAGACACTTCTGCGTTAAACCTAAACGGACACTGCTTGTCAGAAGTTATGTTTAAGGTTATACAAATTTGCCTAACAGAGAAAAAAATGCTTAACGTTTCGGAAAGATTATCTCTTTCCGTTGTCGGAAGCAAAAAAATACAAAGAATAAAGAAAAAAACTATTTAAAATATTTAAATTCAACTATTCGAGAACACTCTACTTTTTTAAAACAGATACGTCATTTTTAAAAAAGTAAAGTGGTTCTCGAATAGTTGAATTTAAATATTTTAAATAGTTTTTTTCTTTATTCTTGGTATTTTTTTTTGCTCCGACGACGAAAAAAGATAAACTTTCCGAAACGTTAAGCATTTTTTTCTTTGTTAGGCAAATTTGTATAACTGAAAACATAATTTCTGACAAGCAGTATCCGTTTAGGTTTAACGCCAGAAGTGTTTACAAAAAATAACTATTTTATTTTGTAGATTTTCTTGCCGTGCAGTGGCCCATAAAGGATTTTTTTGGAGAGATGAATCCGCCACATAGAGGTATAGACATTTTTTAACATCTATTGCAGATTCTCTCACCTTCATACTATGAAGTATTTGAAATCAAGTTAAGTATATAATTTTTTGTCAATGTTGTAACCCAGGGTATTGAATAAGCTAAGATCCGTCCGATTACCGACTGATTCTTTCAGTTCTCAAAAACTTGGTAAGCAGTAAGCATTTTTCAGTTGGAAGTTAAATAACTTGGTTATTTTAAGTTTATTTTAAAAATGGTATAAATTTCCATATCGTCTACCTTGCACTTACTTAAGTGACACCCTGTATATCTAACAGAAATAACTGTAACAAAATCCTTTTAAACGACCTACATCAATAACTCTTTATATATTGCAAATCATTAAAAAAATTCCATAAACCTGTTGATATAGATAGAAATGAATTAATGACTTTACAGAATACAGAAAATACATTATTATTAAACCTTGTATATAACAAACAAAATTTATCTTATTTTTATATTGTTTTAGAGTACAATAACCCTTTTGAAATAGCGACTTATATTTAGTAGTCTATTTAGTAAATAATGATATTTATTTCATTGACAGGGTGTCTCATTTTCGTGTATTTTACAGCGTTATAGGCACGCATTTATGAGAAAAAATACAAATCACATCACTAAATACTTTTTTTATGAAACTAATCTTTTAACAGATTTGTCCTAGACCTTTTAGTTAATGAAATATAGAGCGAAATTGAAAGTGTTGCATTTTTCGAAGCCCTTTGTATCTCGGTTAAATTATCGAAAAGGGGAAAACTGATTTCCATAGAGTTTTTCACGTAGAATTCAGTGGCATTACTAGTTTTTTTGTTGGAAGCTGTCATTCTTGAAATATGACCTAAATTGTTTTTTTTAATGGGACACCCTGTATATATTTTTTTAATTGCCAAACTTTCTAAAAATATAATATACTCTATACTTTCAGTGCAGTTTATTAAGAATGCGATGGAAAGAAAAAAGTATCCGGTTAGATTAAATTATATAAAATAATGCTCATTTAATCTACAGGGTGGTCCGAATTGTATTCGGGAAATACATATACATGAAGTATACCCATAAAAATAAGTAAAATCGAGGTAAAAATGTTCCTATAAATTTATGTTCTAAAATGCGGAGTTTCAGAGGAATTTCATTTCGGAGTTACAGGATGTAGTAATTTTATTTTATTTTGATTTTTTCCAAATAATTTCCGAACTAATATGTCGGGATAATTTTTACATGAGAAATTTGATTTCGATGTAACTACTACTTATATAGTATAGTATATACGATGTATAACTCCTACTTGTAGAGGGCGCCACCTACATATTTTTTAACTGGGTTGAAGATTAATAACTTTTCGTCTGTAGCCGTCAAAACCTATTAAGTAAAAAAAATATTTTTTGCCGTTTTTTACGCAAAAAAGCCTCTGGGTAAAAGTCGCTACAACTAACCGTTCTCAAGATGTCATTCCTACAAAAAATATGGTGACATATTTTTTGTAGGAATGACATCTTGAGAACGGTTGATAGATAATTATTTGACTGAAATTATAAATCTGGATTTTTTTTAATTAATCATTATTTTTTCTAGAAAAAAAATTAATAAAACAATTTCTGTTGAAACTTTGCGCCAATAAATTTCAAATTTATGATATCCCTTATTTATGATATGAGTCTAATACTATCCAGAAACATGTTTAATTTTTGTTGCGCCATGTATTGATTATTTCGATTCCAAATATCTCAAGAATTGGTTCATTAGTTGTAAGAAATTTTACGAAGAGAAATTTTTAACGTAAAAAACGGAAATGTATATCTTTTCATTCAGTGGTTTTATACAGGTACGGGCGAAAAATTATTACTCTTCAACCCATTTAAAAAATATGTAGGTGGCGCCCCCTACAAGTAGAAGTTATATTGACATCGACATCAAATTTCTCATGTCAAAAAACTTCTAGACACTCATTTTCATCCATATTCCGACATTCAGAAATCTCTAGCACAAAAATTATTTCCAAAAAAAAAATAAAAATGAAACTTTCACACCCTGTATCTCCAAAACAAAGCATTTTAGGACATAAATTTGTACGTACTTATTTATCTATTTTTACCTGCAGAATATGCTGCCAAAATTTCCCAAATACAATTCGGACCACCCTGTATAGATTGATATATGTTAAAAATATTAAATAATGCATTTTTACCTTGTTTATGAAAATGTATATAGTATATTGCATTTTTATAAAGCTTACAACAAGATAAATAAAATTAAAAAATGTAGAGGATGTATAACAAAAAAATATAAGTCTGAGTCATATTTCGAAAATGACAGCTCTCAGTGCAAAAAATAGTTAGGCCAGTGGATTTTACGTAAAAACTCTACGAAACTCAATTTTCACCTTTTCGACAAGTTATATAAGATAACCAAGATACAAAGGTGTCGAAAACGTTTTAAAATTCGCCCTGTGTAGCATCTTTAGCTCCATAAAAAAGCTAGCTAGTGATGTGAAAACCGCATCTTTGTATCTCTACTCATAAACGAAAAACCTCATAAAACAAAAGAAAATGGGACACCCTGTACTTTCTGCACATTTTTTTGACAGCAATACCAACCAATTTAGTATTTTGAACATATTTAAAGTTAGGATTAGAGTCTTTAGTTTTTTATTTTAATAAATTTACATGATTTTGACAATAATAATATAATCAATAATCATGAACATATATTTTACCATACGAACGAAAAAAACCAGCGTCGAAGATGGCTGGAAAATAAAGAGCGCTGTTATTTTCTATCTAGGTATATAAAATTATGACAAATGTCATCGATAGTCATTTCCAAGTCGACTGGACATTCTTTATTTCGACCATACGGTATGTATTATTGAAATAGATGGAATATAGATTCAAAATTATATAAATAAATTATATAAACGATATGATTTTTTATTATTAATTATTTATTCTTACTTGCTATATTTTTCAAGAGAAACTTGTAGAAAATTAATAGAAAAATAAACTTCACCGAGCACTGTTTTCAAAAACAATAACAAAAGAAAATAAACTACTTGCTACGTTTGTAAAAATGTATATCCACACCAAAGTACGCACAATTTAATGAATCATATCCATAACAAATTTAATTACTTTGCTCAATTTAGATAAGCAGTAATTTCAAAACAAGGCATGATATGAATTATTAAATTGCGATGCCGTATATCAATTTAAACAAGACAAATTAAATAAATAATAATACGAATTATCTATTTATATAAAGGACCAAGAATAACTTGTTTATTTATTACGGTTTTCATACGGGGTGGACATCGTTGAAATAGAAATGTATTTTGTAATATTTTTAAGTATATATAGCTAGCTGAACCATATACTTAAAAAAATCACCCTGTATATTATATGTAACTATTTTTATTGATAATAATTAAATTACAATTTTAGATTTTATTTTTAAGTGAGAAAAAATTAAAGAAAAATATTTTTAATTAAATTGGTATTAGTAAAGTAAATAAGAGATAAAGTAAAACATTCCAAAAAATATTAACAATTTTTGTCATAGATATATGAATACAAATATGTTTGAAGTCCACACCCATCAATCACAACCAATTCTTTTTCCAAAACAAGATACAAAATCAACTACAAAAACATAATTTAAATATGAATAAAAAACGAGTTTTAAATTAGAAATTTAAATATTGTCGAAATATTTGAAGAAATAAAAAATTACAGAGAAATTTTTCCTGTATTTATACCTTTCTTTTTAATTAATAAAAACAGTTATTGTGTAAGAAAAACACCATTAAAAAAACAATACTCTAAATAACTAGATTTAACATAGATATTAACAAAATATATTTAATAATAGCATGCTGATGTGCAATTTTATAATAAAAATAGATATCCTCTATTTCATAAAAAGAAATAATAGAACAAATGCTAGACATACGGATCTAATTTGAAGAGATAAAAGAAGTAATTTTGCAAAATGAAACTATCTTGAGGCAATTTAGTTAATAGATATATCTATCAAATGAAGATTGATGGTTCTTTACTTACCCACGTTGTGGTTACTTTGTTATCTCGCATTTTCGCAAACAAATTCCAGTTTTTCCCGATGGGAAAATGACATTTTCGAGTCTGGATCGTCTGGAACTGAAGCTACGTCCAGAATAATCGATAGACTTGGCGCAGACTCATTCATAGCCAAACGCGGCGGAAAATTTAAATTTATATTAGGGTATTTTCTGTAGTATTCTTATGTTTAAGTACGCTAAATAAATTTAAATTAAATACATTTTTATTTTTCGTTTATTATATAATATTATATAACAAGACCACAGCCTATTCAATACCAGCTTGGCAGGTGTATCCCTATTTGAGTATTCGTATCAACTACTGCGTGTATTCTCATATTCCTGTAAGAAGTGCTGAAAGACATTTATTTTTATTATTTTTTTTAAACGAAACTTTCAATCTGTATTTTGTATCGATATCAGTCTGGTATTTTACCGTTGAAAGAGACATGCCTATGTAATAAAAAGGCGAATATTTGCGAAACCGTTAAAAATTTTAAAATACTTTAAACACAAAAAATGTTTATTTTTTCATTCTCGATCTAACAAAGAAATAATATACAGGGTGTCCTATTAAAAAAACGAAGAAAAATTATTTTATATTTTAGAAAGTTTGGATTAGAATTTTTAACATCTCATATGGTTGAAGTTTACGATATTTATAGCAAAGTAAGTACAGATGAACTATAGTAAATACCTAGTATAGTTTTGATTTAAGCAGGATATTTCTTGTATTTTTAACATTTTTTTTCAGGCTAAAAATTAATATTTTTTTATTTATCTATACTAATATATAAAATACTTAAGTGACTGACAAACTGATTAATCACGATCCTGCTCAAACCACTCAACGTAAGAAGCTCAATTTTGGCATTCATGTTGATTCTGGGGTGTAGAGGTTCGATAAGAAGCGATTTTTCGAAATTCCAGTTCCAAGAGAGTGAAACCACCCCTCAAATATTACAATATTTTTTCTTTAAAAAACGGTCAATTTTCCAAAAAACGCTTAAACAAGTATATTTTATTTTGTTTTTTTACATATTTTAAGATTTTTTAAACATGTATACAGGGTGTTTCGAAAAATCTGGTCATTGATTAATCACGATCCTGCTTAAAGCGCTTGACGTAAAAAGCTGATTTTTGGAAAACAGATTGACTTTAGGGTGTAGAGGTTCCATAAGAAGGGATTTTTCGAAACTCGAATTCTAAGGGGGTAAAACTATCCCTCAAATATTAAAATATTTTTTATTTAAAAACCGGTGAGTTTTTCGGAAAAACTCTTAAACACGTATATTTTATTTTGTTGTTTTACGTATTTTAAGATTTTTTATAAATTTATACAGGTTGTTTGATGTTTGAAGATTCTGCTGAAACTGCTTGACGTTTAAAGCTGATTTTTAGCAAACGGATTGACTGTAGGGTGTAGAGGTTCGATAAGGAGAGGTTTCTCGAATCTCAAATTCCAAGAGGGTGAAAACGCCCCTCAAATATTACAATATTTGTTATTTAAAAGACGGTTAGTCTTTCGGGAAAATGCTTGGACAAGCATAATTTATTTTGTTTTTTTACATATTTTGAATTTTTTTAAAAAATCATACGGTGTTCCAAAAAGTTGGGTAATTTCTTAACCACGATTCTGCTTAAACTGCTTGACGTAAAAAGCTTATTTTTGGCAAACGGATTTTTCGAAAGTCAATTTCCAACGAGATGAAACTACCCTATAATAATGTTACGTTTTTCGTCGGTTCCGTGTGGATAGAAAGTCACAATTTATTTAAACACTATTTATTTAACACTAATTAACAAAAATAATAACGATAAAAGACTTATAGAACTATTTACAAACGATTTATAACTAAGAATTTATTTTGAATTTTAGCGCGTCAACTGTATATTTATAACTGCCCCCTGTAGGCCACCGCCGCCGGCTTTTATACCGACAGGTAAAGAACTCTAGAATTGTCCATAGATCGTTAGGTGCGTAGACAAGGTTTTCGAATGTTCTCGTATGTACTAGTCCATTCCAGTGGGACTCGATTCTTCTAGAACGAATGAATCATTGCGGTGTCTATGCGATGTTAAGGTCATCCGAGGGCGGGCCATATTGTGAGGTTAGGTCGAGTCCACACGGGCCCGCAACACTGCCCCCTCCTTAGGCACATGCTCGTCCCGAGATTATACGGTGAATGAAGGTATTTGCAAAGCTGGCCCCTGGTACATTGCGAAGTCTGGTAGAAATAGCAGTCTACAGTTTTCTCTCCCGATCTCAGCTTTGGGTTGTAGCAGCAAACGAGGATCTCGATTCCCGTAAATCTGAACAAGACTTCAATCATGTTCCGGATTGTACGCCAACTCAAACCATCGAGTCCACACGCCAGCTTCGGAATGGCTAATCGTGCAATGTTGTTGTTTAGCAGGGCTTCTCTCAGTTCAATCAGGGTCTTCCATAGATTGAGATAAGTCGGCTTACTCGGGGACCATTCCTTGGTGACCAGGTAGAAGATGTGCCTTGCTTGACCATGTGCATTGTCGGTTAGCCTCAAGACGCTTCCAACCTCTGGATCCTGTCGGCGTAGTTCTCCGACACGCCCAAACTTCTCATTGAACGTCGCAGCGATTCCTCTGGACATCCGCAAATCTCGAGCCACACAATGAGCGAGCGAATAATCAGGAGGCACGGAAAAGAGGTCTCGTTGATCTTCTTTGGTTACACCATAGCGAGCCTTCTCACTGCTGTTGTATCGGGCCATGAAATCGTCAAAGGACATCTCCGAATCAGGGGGATCAAAGCTGCAGGTTCTCACGGTCCCAGCACGATCTTCTATTTCGCCTTGGTAGGGGCTCAAACGGTTGAAATGGACTACCCTCGGTTTTCCTTTTGGCAATTTTCTGATACGGTATACGACGTCATTAATTCTATCCATGACTTCGTATGGCCCTTCCCACGAGGATTGTAGCTTCGGAGATAACCCACGACGTCTCTGCGGGTTATATAGCCACACCAACTTCCCTGGTTGGTATCCTCCATGCTCAGCTTGAATGTCGTAGTGTTCCTTCATTCGGTCACTAGCACTTTGAATATTTAGGCGGACTCTCTGATGAATGTCGTCCATCCTTTGACGTAGTGTGTGGACATAATCTTCTCCGGCGACTTCTTCTCCCGGTCGGCAACCAAATTTCAGATCACAGGGTAGGCGCACTTCCCGTCCCATAACGATGCTGGCTGGAGTTTGCCCTGTAGATTCTTGGACGGATGAACGGTAGGCCAACAGGAACAGGTGAAGAAATTTGTCCCAGTCTCTTTGGTGGTCAGAGACTACTTTGGCCAGATAACGGTTGATAGTTCTGTTCATGCGTTCAACCATCCCATCGGATTGTGGATGTAGAGCAGTCGTCCTGGTCTTGCGGATGTTCAGGACTTCACAGACGCCTTGGAACAGATTGGACTCAAAGTTTCTTCCCTGATCTGAATGAAGCTCCATGGGAACACCAAACCTGCAGATCCATTCTTTAACAAGGGCATCAGCAATCGTGGACGCTTCTTGATTTGGCAACGCGTAGGCCTCGACCCATTTGCTGAAGTAATCCATTACTACCACAATGTATTTGTTGCCATCGTTCGTCTCCGGGAAAGGACCAGCCACGTCGATCGCTATTCGTTCGAAGGGACTACCAACATTGTACTGGCGCATAGGGGCTTTACCACGCTTTTGTGGCCCATTAATGGCTGCGCAAATGTCACATTTCTTACACCAGGCCCTCACATCTTCTTTGCAGTTCACCCAGTAGAACCGTTCACGCAGCTTGCCAAGTGTCTTGGTAACACCAAGATGTCCACCGCTGGTTCCATTGTGAACTTCCGCCAAGACTTCCGGGACCCTCTTCTTTGGAATGACGATCTGCCTTCTCTCTTCTTGTCCCTCTGGTCTCACAATCACACGGCGAAGTAATCCGTTATCTATACCAATGAATTCCACTGGGACCAGTACGACTTCACGTTCGGCGAATATCTGCAAACTTCCTCCCACGTTGGTCTCTGGTCCGCGTTTTTCCAGTTAATCACCAAGCCCAACTCTGGATCACTGATTTGGTCATTTGCAAGATCTTCGGTTTGCCAACTATCACCAACCACAGTCGTCCTTAAGACTTTCACTTCTTTCTCTTCTTTGTAACGATTTCCCATCTGTCCGCAATTCCAACAGCGAATCGGTCCCCCCTTCTTGCTCATATACTGATCCAGTACTTTCCGCACAATCCTTTCCACTTTGGAATCGTCGGAACTCTCCTCAACAGCCCGTACAAATCCTAGAGACCTAGAGCATTCTTTCGCGGCCTCAAATTCCAGGGCACGTGCTAGGGCATCTCCCAAATGCGTTGGATGAGCTAAAAGAAGTGTTTGCCTTGTCTCGTTGTCACGTAAACCATCAATAAAAGCCTGTACTGTTAAGCGCTCCATAACATTTTCGGGCATAGCAGGGTACGCAAGGCGAACGAGGCGGGCTACGTCGGCTTCAAACTCCTGCAGAGACTCATTTGACTTTTGAATGCGATTTTTTAGCTGGGAATGATAGACATGTTCCAAATGAGCTTGGCCGTACCTCATTTCTAAATGTCGTACCAATTGCTGATAATCTCCCTGTTCCGATGGTGACAATGTCTGCAGGATATCAGTCGCATCTCCTCGCAGTGCGACAGTCAAAGCGGTAGCTTTTTCAGCGATTGTCCATCCGTTCGCTCTCGCAGCGGCCTCAAACTGGCAAAAATAATTGGCCCAAGCGGTTTTTCCGTCAAACTGTGGAGGCTTAATAACTGACTTTGAGATATACTTATTTTCGACTAGTTTCGGTGCATCCGATGTTTCTGGACATTTTGGTGAATTTGCCTTTGCTATTTCTTGTTTTAAAATTCGATTTTTCTATTTACATCTTCCTCAATCTCTGTTATTTTATTGTTAAAACTTTCTTCCAAAATTACTATTTTATTATTAAAGCTGGCCTGTATATCTTTAGAATTTTCGATGATCTTATCTTCTAATGTATTGATTAAATCCTGGGAATTTTCCATAATTTTATCACTG